TCTGACTCACAGCGCCCCTAGAGGACAGAGTGGAACTGCACCACAGGGTCTCCAAGGCTGTCAGTCTTCACAGAAGCAAAGCCCAAACCACACCCACTGCTGTGGAGTCCATTCTGACCCACAGCACCCCTAGAGGACAGAGTGGAACTGCCCCACAGGGTCTCCAAGGCTGTTATCTTTACAGAAGCCAAGTGCCTCATCTTTCTCTAACGGAGTAGCAGATGGGTTCAAACCACTAACCATTTGGTTAGCAGCCGAGTGCTTTAACCACTGGCTGCCAGAGCTCCTTCTCCTCCTTGACAGTGGTGGCTAAGTCACCTGTTGAGGGCCTGAGATCTTTATGAGAGTCTGAGTTGGGGAGCCAAGCTGAGTGAAACGAACAGATTGCTGGTAGACGTTTTGGGGGTCCAGCTGAGGGTGAAAGTAAAGCCGTATAATTCAGCCCCATGATGTGAAGTTTTTCCCCGCCACACCAAACCGCCCAAGGCAGGGGAGGGGAAAAAATGGACGGTTGGGTTGATCCAAGTTTGGGGATTGGCAGATGAATTGAGAGGCTGGTGGAAGTGTGGCTGGAGTCCACGTTGGCCATGGGCTTTGAGAATTTTGATGGGGGAAGCCTGGAAGGGCTGGCTTTGGATTAGTAAGGGCCCCAAGAGTGGGCCCCAAGATGGTGGGGCCCTCCCAGGACTGGAGGCTGAGAAGAACCGTGGCAGCATAGCTTCTGCATGTGCACTTCATTCAGACACGGGGAGTCATCTTGGCACTTTCTACTTTACTGGCCACGAGGGAGGTCTGTTGAACAGGAAGGGGGCCTGAGTGAGGCAGTTAAGCGCTTGACTTAGTACCCGAAAGGCTGGGGTTCACGTCCATCCAGAGCCTCCTCTGAAGAAAGACCTGAAACATCATCCACTAAAAATCCTACGGCGCGCAGGTGTACTGTGACACACACGGGGTCACCGTGTCAACCCTACGGTTTGGTGGCTTGGGGTTACCAAACTGGAAAGAAGTTCGGGGATCGCTGATGATAGTAGTCATCGTATCGTCTTTCTTTTCAGACGACTAAATACGTTGAACAAGTGTGCATCCATGAAACTCGATGTGAACTTCCAAAGGAAAAAGGTAGGTGTCCACCCCTTACAGACCCGTGGGCAACCCCAGCCACGTGCATAGAGCGAAAATAACATGAATGTAAAGCAAAAGGCTGCAGCTTCTCAGCACGTGTGTCTGTCCTCCAGATGTCCGATGTCGTCACGACCGTCGTCCGTAATTCCATCGTAAGCCAAGCCAAGTTTTGTTTTACTCCACCGTTTCCTTTTGCTTTCATTTTTACCAAAGGGCTTGCATAATAGATGTAAGATATCTTAGTTCTTTATGGTAATCTATCAGAAATGTGTTCCACTGTTTCATTTTGCTTTCGTTTTTATCCGAGGGTTTACATAAAGACATCACATGTCTTCATTCTGTATGGTAGTCTTTCAAAAGTTTGTTGCACTGAATATGTCAATCTCATATGAGAACCAAATACTGCATTTTCTCACATATAATGCGCCCACGGAAATGACACATTCGCGCATGTAATGCACTGAGTGTGCGTAGAGAACTAGCACGCAAAGGGGTTGGACAGTTTGCAAAACTGTATAATGTATGCGTTGTTTGCATAAAACTATGGCAGCGCACAGAGACTAGTAGATCAGGAGAGTTCAGGAGTGGCTCTGTGGGTTCATGTATTTCATTCTTTGCGATAACATTTTATTTTAAGTGTATTTTCATTCTCAGGCAGGTTCATAACTGGTATAAGAGGGCTGGGGAGAGCATTACAATAAGATACCGCATCTTTCACGATTCTCCCCTTTGTGTTTTTCTCTGGAAGTTCTAGGCAACTTCTTTCAGGTTTAAAAGTCACCATGAGCCCTTTCATTTCTAGGACTTTGCCTATAGTACTTCCTTGGCATGAATGAAATAGGACGCTTCGGATTTCCAATAAAGCCATGTTTTATTGGGTACTAACGGCTCTCCAGGACCTGTGATAAGTACTCACACTGCATTCTCCTGTTTAATCCATTGAAGTGAGGTTCCTCCATTCCCTTCAGAAGGAAAGGAAAGTTTGCAGGTTGTTGTAGCTGCAGCTGCCCCAAAATCAGTCCCTGACTCACGATAAGCCTGTGCTCAGGGGATTGTGCGCCGCCCAGTCCTGCACCCAACTCCTGGCGAGTCCACGCACAGGGAGCCTGCACCATCTCCATCAATGGCTGCACGTTGGACCAGTGTGCTCTGTAGTTTTTCTTTTCTTTTTTAATATTTCGTTGTGTTTTTGATGAAAGTTACACAGCAAAATGGGTTCCCATTTAACAGTTTCTATACATGTTGTTCCAGGAGCTTTGATGGCACAGTGATTAAAGCATTCAGCTGCAAAACAAAACGTTAACTGGTGATTCAAACCCACCAGCCACTCCACGAGAGAGTGATGAGGCAATCTGCTTCTGTAAAGATGACAGCCTGGGAAACCCTGTGGTGCAGTTCCACTCTGTCCTCTAGGGGCACTGTGGGTCAGAATGGACTCCACGGCAGTGGGTGTGGTTTGGGCTTTGCTTCTGTGAAGATTGACAGCCTGGGAAACCCTGTGGGGCAGTTCTACTCTGTCCTCTAGGGGCGCTGTGGGTCAGAATGGACTCCATGGCAGTGGGTGTGGTTTGGGCTTTGCTTCTGTGAAGATTGACAGCTTCAGAAACCCTGTGGGGCAGTTCTACTCTGTCATCTAGGGGCGCTGTAGGTCAGAATGGACTCCAGGGCAGTGGGTGTGGTTTGGGCTTTGCTTCTGTGAAAACTGACAGCCTAGGAAACCCTGTGGGGCAGTTCCACTCTGTCCTCTAGGGGCACTGTGGGTCAGAATGGACTCCACAGCAGTGGGTGTAGTTTGGGCTTTGCTTCTGTGAAGATTGACAGCTTCAGAAACCCTGTGGGGCAGTTCTACTCTGTCCTGTAGGGGCGCTGTGGTTGGAATGGACTGGACAGAGGTGGGTTTGGTTTGAGCTTTACTTCTGTAAACATTTACAGCCTTGGAAACCCCATGGGGAAGTTGTGCTTTGTCCTATAGTGTTGCTGTGAGTCAGAATCCACTCAGTATCAGGGTTTTGGTATATAGGTCGTTCAGTGACGTTGGTTACAATTTCCATAATGTGTCACCATCTGCTTATTTGTATTCTGATTGTTCTGTTTCCATTAATCTAGCTTCCCTGCCCCCCTTCACCTTCTTACCTTTGCTTTAGGGTAAATGTTGACTATTTGGTTTCATGTAGTTGGTTGTCTTTTGTTTCTAAAGGAGCACAGTACTGTTAGGTAATATTGTTTACTTTATGAGCCAGTTTGTTATTTAGTTCAAAGGTGACCTCGGGGGGTGGGTGGTTTTGTGTTTCAGTCTAAAGGGTGTCACAAGGTGATCATCTCAAGGGTTACTCTAGTATGTACTGGTCCAATAAGTGCGGCCTGCATTTAAGAATTTGAGTTTTGTTCTACGATTTTCTCCCATTCTATCCCCTGGTCAGAGCATTCAGCGTCAGCAGTGGTCACTGGGCACCATCTAGTTCTTCTGGTCTCAGGATAGATGTGGCTGTGGTTTGTATAGCATGTTATTCCTGTCGACTCATTCGTCGGCTCTTTTTGTTTAGTTCTTTCTCTTTTGCTGTAGATGAACAGAGATCAATACTTGTGTCTTAGATGGCTACTTGCAAGCTTTTAAGACCCCAGACGCTAGGATGGTGACACCCCAAACTAGAAGGGAAAACATAAACTATGTTGTGCCAGTTGAATGTGCCGTCCCACTAGACTGTGGTCTTAACCCTTGAAACCCATTACACGAGCCCTGGGTGACTTTTGGCACCAGGTCAGCAGGTCTTCCTCGTCCATCTTGGTCTAGATGCTCCGCTGAAACCTGCCCTGCATCACGACAACACACAAGTCTCCCTGACAGATGGGTGGTGTCTGTGTTTGAGGGGACTGGCTGCTATTTGAACGCGGGTCTCCTGAACGGGAGGCAGGAACACTACCAGTGAGCCCCACCGCCCCCGCAGAGGCTGGGTAGGTAACATAGTTGACTGGGATCTCTCCAAGCGGGGTTCCAACCTCAGGCGTGTCTCACGCCAAAACCATGCCTCCTAACCACCGCGCCGAACTGCCCCCCTTTCTCACTGAATTCACCCTTTTAGGAAATCCAGACGTTAAAACTATTAGTGACTTTTTTCATTTAACGTCTCCAATCTGTTACACGGCAAGGCTTGGTATATTTTGAAGAAGCAGAGAAAACATCTTTGAGCCAAAAGAAAGCTTTCTTTATCCCCTGCTATACAGGGAAATCATTAAACACAGGGTTGTAAGTCACCCCTGAGTAACCCAATCTTTAAAAGATAATTTTAACCTGAATTTCGGCTCTAAAATAGCATGCAAAAAACAAACAAACAAAAAAGAATTTTGGTTGACCCCACCTTCAAAATTCAAAACAATTTGAGGTCTGAGTCAGGAACCCAAGATTTAAACTAAAGGTAAAAGGCTGAAAAACAATATTCAGAGAAATATTAAAACATGAGTGTTTTGTCCAAGCTGGAGACTAAGTAAAATGTGAGGCCCAACTTCCTGACAGCTGTCGCTCTGAATAGCCCCCTTGAGACACACACAAACCATGTGAAGCAAGAGAATCAGGTGTTGTTTTTGTCGTTACACATGGTTCTTATTGAAGCCAAACACAGCCAGGCCTGTTGCCTGCAGGTTCAGTACCTCTCACGGCCTCTAGATCCTGCCAGCACAGACCCTTACCCGCCGTGTGTCACCCCAACCAACAAACAAAACTGAATGATTGGATTTGGTGTTTGGGTTTCCTTTCGTAAAAAATGTTTTGTTGTGGTGAAATCCATTTATCCTCTCAACCCTTTCCACATGTTCAATCCAGTGACGTTAATTATGTCCACCTCGTTATACAAAGGAGCCCCGGTGGATTAGCGCACAGCCCCTAACCAAAAGGGCTGTAGTGCAAACCCACCAGCTGCTCCACAGGGCAAAAGCTCTGGCAATCTTTTCCTGAAGGGATCACAGCTTAGGAAACCCTGTGGTGCAGTTCCACTCTGTCCTCTAGGGGCGCTGTGGGTCAGAATGGATTCCACGGCAGTGGGTGTGGTTTGGGCTTTGCTTCTGTGAAGA